CCAAATACGCAACGCTCCGTCTTACCTGTTTCCGTGGAGAGGAGCTTCTGTAGCGCTCATAAACCAGCGAATTCAGTGACGTCACCCGTTTACCGCAGCTTATTTTGGCACGTGTGCCCCGGGTGTTTGTCTGTCCGCACCTACCCATTCCGTCTATCCACCCCTACGTTCCGAGTAGCCGCGCGGAATTTCGGTTTTCGGCCCCCGCGCACCAACACCACCACGGTGCCGCGAACTTTGCGGCGCGTACTTTTTGCGGCGCGAACTTTGCGGCGCGAATTTTGCGGCTGCGAACTTTGCGGCGCGAATTTTGCGGCGCGAACCTTTGCGGCCGAAGATTGCGGCGCGAATTTTGGTGGCGCTGAACATTGCGGCCGAATTTCTGCGGCGCGATGTTTAGGCAGAGGCCTTTGGTTATTTTTGCACTGCATCCGAATTTCGTCATAGAAACGTTGGAAGACCGTTTTGCGACAGGAGTCACTGGATTTGGGGGAAATTAATTACCTTTCGCCTGCGACTAAAAAAAGGCTTCGTGCCACCCGGGGCCTAGTCGCCGGATGGGTGCGCCCAGAACAGGGTTTCGAAATAACGCGCCTGAGGAGCGCGAAGTGCCCAGGCGCCTCGATTTCGAGAAGAGGAGCGGCAGCCCATCCGAAGCGACGGCCCATCTTGCTCGACGCCCTCAAGAGGTCTCTGTCACGGCATTGCGTAAAGCTGTAGTTAAATTCGTATGGAATTACATATATAACCATTACAAAAACAAAACTGGCGGTGATTCTGATTCTGAATTTCTGAAATTTCTCTGAAATCTGATCCTGAACTCAAAACAAATTCTGAATTTAAATGATTTATTAATATTTGTTGCGCCGCACCGGGCCGCGAGGTTCGCGCCGCAAAAGTGCGCGCCGCAAAATTCGGCCGCAATGTTCGCGCCGCAAAGTTCGCGCCGCAGTAGTTCGCGCCGCAAAATTCGCGCCGCAAAAGTGATCGCCGCAAAGTTCGGGCCTCACCCACCACCCAGCCACAGCCACAACCACTCACACCTATCAATTATTATCGCCCCCTCGGTCCGACCCCCGCTACAGACAACTAATCACCGACTCGTGATTCGCTAAAAAGCGCCCCACGAGGAGGAGGTTATTTACGGGGTAAATATCACAATATCACAAATATTTTGCTCCGGGAAGGAAGAAAATTTGATTAAAGGGATGGTGAAGCAAAAATCCTTAAAAATTAAAAAAGACGATTAGCGAAAAATCGCCAAAGCCCTTTCTTTAATATGAAAAACACTAATTCAGACTTCCCGATAACTAAAAATATGCAAATCCAAAGAATACTAGATATTATTCGAATTTGATTTTCTGAGAAATTAAACCGAAACCGTTCTTTGTTTTAAAATTAATAAGGTAACAAATTTTCTATAGATACAGCTAGCTACCGTTTTCTAATTTAATGCCTTTTACTGAAAATGCACCCAGATTACCGTATATCGTAAGCAAATGCATGTTCCCCTCAATGCCTTTCGTGTCGACACCATTGATCCCAGCCGCCCATTTCCAAATGATCCCAGTGTGTTTTTATTATTTGAATTGATCCGTATTTTGTAACTTTTTGTGAATTTATCGTATCTATTATTTTTCTAAAATTTGCAATCCACTTGTCCCTATTTATGGGTTAGCCGCCAACCAGAGAAACTTGTAGCCCCTCAAAATGATCCCAAATATTCGCGATTTTGTAATGTTGTGTTGTACATATGATTAATGAATTGTGTTGAATAAGAACTTGTTTTTATTTTTGGAATAAATAAATTTTATGAAAAAGCTACAGAAAAGTTGAACAATTTGATGCAAAGGAAGAAGTCAAAAAGTCTGAAATTCTGATCATGTCATTGTACATATAATTTCACATGATAGCAAGTCCATAAACCTCCCCAACACTTGGTAGTCGAAAATTACAATATAAGCCATCAAAATCTGAGACTAAGGGATATTAGTGCGTAGGAAAATTTCCAAGTCGCGGATAAACCCAGGGCGCATCTCACCAGGCACATAGCGCATCCAAAGCCATTCGCCATCACAGGGTTCAATCCCGTAGACATCATCTTCCTGCCCTTCATCACCTCCATCACTTCGACGATACCTCGGCTTCTTCCCGGCCCAGAACAAGTCGAGGTTCTCTAGCCACTCGTCATTTAGGTCCGAGCAGTGGTAGCTCAAAATTTGAACGTCTTCAATTTCTCGCTCTCCTGTGAGCCATTTGCATATGATCCTTTTTGCAAAGCCACAAAGCCCATCGGTGCTGTTCGGATCTGGACGGAAAAGCACTCGCGGATGTTTGACCTGTAGGTAATCGAAAAGCGGGATTTCAAAGTGGGTCCTAATCTCAAGCTCCGAGCAGTTCGAGCCGTTCAACCAAGAATAAAGTTCCGGCGTTGGCCAAACATTTGATAGCTCAACTTGACGATATTTTCCGGTGATAGGCGCGTAGCTTTGGATTACTTCGATAATATTTCGATCGCTGTAGGTAATGCTCAAATTGATAGCTTTAAGGTTTGAAATCGGTTGACCCTCTCTTTGGAGTAACAACTGATGAACGGTTGAATTTGCAAAGAGCATCTTATGCGTGCTCTGAGGCATCGGGTGCCGTCGGTGAGTTCCGAATGAGATCCCGGTATACTTGAGACTGCCATCCCACATCAGAGCGCCGTCCCAAATTTTGCCAGGGACTTCTTCAGCAAGTTTCCAGCTGGCCTTGCTGCAGCGCCCGATATAGTGGAGACTTTGGAAGTCCATCATCCGTAGGATGTCCTGTTGGATCTCGCGGGGGAAGGCGAAGAAGTCCATGTACTGAAAAAAGCACGATTAATATGGAATTCGACATGTTTGGAATATTGTATTGAAAAAAACGGAAAGAAAAATATCCACTAAGCCGGTATTCTAATAAATTGACAACAACCAACAACCAAACTGCCGATTTTTGAAAACCGCCGAAATGGCGAACGGTGGCTTTCAATAGCGTGATTGATTGAAAGGCATCGTAGGTCAAGATGGCCTTGGGCCACTGTAATCATCTGCCAAAGAATGATACCGCCTGCTACTCCCGCGTCCAAAACACGCACCAATAGTTACAAAAAATTAAAAGGCTTCGAACTATTTTTTGATGTCCACAAAATTTTCTCGTGTTTCATTATGCATGAAAATTTAATTATTCCCCCCAAACGTCAAGCATTTGCCCCGTGAACTCAATTCTGGTGCAATCCGTTTTCAGCTTCCCCGTCCCAAGGTTTCATGTTGCCAGTCGGGCACCGCCAGTTTGGGCCCCCTAAGTTGGACCCTAATTGGGCGATGAGAAGGAGCAGGGCGGCTCAAATCGTGTTTGGCGGATGGGTGAGAAGCCCGGGAAGGGGATGGTCGTGGAAAAATGAGTAGACGCGTGCTGGAAGGCATCGTCCAATCGGGTAGGGTAGGGTAGATTACTCAAGCATCACTTGGCAGGACTTTGGGCGATTGGTACATCGGATTTTTTAGGCATTACTTCCCAAAACGGCTAAATTATTTCGTTCGTTTTTCTATTGATTATCTGTCCGTCAGTCTGTCTCTGTCTCTCTCTCCCTCGCTTCTCTCTCTCTCTCTCGCGCTCTCTCTCTCCCCTCACTTTCTCTAACTTAAACCCGCATAATTCCTCAAGTTTCTCCACCCGAAAAAATTCCTGTGTGTGTACAAGTACGGCCTCCAGACGACGACGAGAAGCCCAATTTCCTGCTGCTTTCCACAGCCCATTCCTGCCCCCCTCAAAACCAATCACATCTGAAGAAGTTGAGCAGCAAGAGGAGGAGGACGAGCCTTGGATAGATAGGAAAACGGGTGGGGGGACGCGTCCCGGTCCGAGATGATGAGTTGTTTGTCTATTTCAGAAATTGGGCCCCGCACCTCGTCGTTTTTGCCTAGCGGTTCGCCTTGCTCCAGTTGTTCAGAAATTTCGTGGGGAATTTTTATGAAATTTGTGGGGCTTAAAGGTAAGCGCGAAAATGGACCCCCTGAAGTACTTTTTCTACTTTGAACTGAAGTACTTTTAACTGAACTGAACTGAAGTACTGAAGTACTTTTAACGCTTACCAACGCCATAAAGTATAAAAATGAAGGTGTGATTTTCACCCCACAACATCAATTCAATTTTTTTGCACGTATCAATTTTTGCCTAAACTTCTGGCTCTTGATCTTTTGAAAGATTTTATAGGTTTCCGTCTTTTTTCAATGTGTCCGTACTTTTTTTGTTACCGTTTCCATGTTTCTTCTCATTTATTTTACTTTTCTATTCCCTCAAAAACCCTCGTTCCCCTCCCAAGAGAGGAGCTCAAGAGCCACATACACCTTCCACACCCCCCCCTGCATCATCCCAGTATCATTTCCACTCGGCTGCTACTTGATGAGATCCCAAGGGGCTAAAAAGCCGAATTCATTAGCCCCACCCCAAAGAGGGGGGCTTTTGGTAGGTGAGAGGGAGGTGTAAGAGACTCAATTTTTTGTTGTGTCTTGGAACGGGGTGAGGAGGCTTGTGAGGGTATTCAAGATACACGTCTTCGGATGATACTTTAAAGATCCGAAAGACATGGAACAATTAAGAAAGCGACTGACGAACCTCTACAATGAGTTGGAGTGGAAGCAGAAGCCCTAGAGTAGCTCATGAACGTCTATATGGTTTTGCAAAATGTAATGGGTACCTTACGTTATTTCGAACATTTTCGCATTTTCGCAATAGAGAAAATACAAACTACGTTACAGATTACCTATCATTATGATATTGCACCTACTTGACTGCGTTTAGAAAGCAGAACTCTACTACTTTATGTTTTTTTCACGCTTTTTTGCCACTCTCCATCATCACCAACAGGTTCCAGCAGCGGGAAATTGAGTGGGCGAAATTGCCGGGGTGAACCCCGGCGAACCTGAACCCACACAAATATTTTTCTCATTTTGTTCACCAACCCCTGCTGAAGGGGTCCTAGACTCATTTTCAGTGCAGTTCTTGTTTGTCGTTGTGTTTGTCTGTCTGCGCACTGCGTTCAAGTTTCTGGAGGTCGGTGCAGGGTGAGCAGCTGATGTTGATGAACTCGTTTACGCAGTTTATTGCCTTGCAACTTTTGGGCCACGGTAGAGGAACATCTGCTGCAGAAAGTGTGGCACTCGGTGTTCTTATTCCGCAAAGAAAATTCCCCAAAATTTTCCCCTTTTTTTTTTTTTTTTTTATTTTTTTTTTTTTTTTTTTTTTTTTTTTTTTTTTTTTTTTTTTTTTTTTTCTTCTCTTTAAAAAAAAATTTAATATTTTAAAAAAATTAAAAAAAAAAAAAAAAAAAAAAAAAAATTTAATTTTTTTTTTTTTTTTTTTTTTTTTTTTTTTTTTTTTTTTTTTTTTTTTTTTTTTTTTTTTTTTTATTAAAATTTAAAAAAAAAATTTTTTTTTTTTTTCCAAAAAAACACCCCCCAAAAAAACATTGCTAGCTTGCTCTTAGTGTTGATTCAAGCTTGTTAGTACCAGTTTCACTAACTTGTCAATTAAATTTCCCTATAAGCTTCAACGTCCTCTCTATCTATCTTTTTCTGGTTTGCTCTTTCTCTCTATCCCTCTCACTCTCTCACTCTCTCTCTCTCTCTCTCTCTCTCTCTCTCTCTCTGCTCACGCCCCCCCCTATTTCCCTTTCTCTCGCTCCCTCTCTCTCCTTTCGGGTCTCTCACTCTCTCGATCGCGAAAAAGAGTTCCTCAAATAGTCGCTGGCTATGGTGAGGTAAAGCTGGTGGGTGGGGTAGCTGCGTGTGTTGGGATAGGGACACCGCCTGGGGCTAGACGCTCCCCTCATATTGCCAACTTGATTAAATGCCGCTTCTTTTCTGAGAAAGAGCTTGGAGCGGAGGACGAGGGGTAGAAGAGGGATATGAAGATGAAGACCGGGACACATCCCAAACACACACCACATGCTGATACCTCTCATTTTTCAGGATGTTATGGAATCTGCTGATACGCCAATTTTCCTTCGATTTCTTTTGTTTTTTTTTCGAAAAAGTTAGTGTTATTGACTAACTTTTCAGTAGTATTCGTAGTAAGATACCTTAACAATTTGAAGTTCCGATTTACCTTAAAGACTACCAGAACGATGGAACGCGCACTGTCACCCCGAGGGTGCTGCCCCCAAGAACGCGCAGAGAGCGTCTTCATTAGTGATGTCCCGTATAGGGTAAGGACCCTCTGGGGTTTGGGGCGCCTCTGACTCCCTTCCCCACTTGGCCCTGTGGTATAGTGGCTAGCGCGTCGGACTGTGGACCGAACCATCGCGGGTTCGACCCCCGCCCGGTGCGCAACTTTCTTGCTCTAAACGATATTTCATCGTTCTAACGGTCTTTAAAGGAATGGCACCACCGAGGGAAGCGATGCTGTATTCTCGTTTTCTCTCCTACTCTCACTCTCTTGCCTCGATCTCGCTGTCACTCTAGCTTTTTCTCCCACCCGTCCCCTATCTGGTTTCGTGCCTCAACTACGTTCTTTGATCCATTGCGCCAGACGCCGTCGCAATTAATTTCCGCTCCTTAAGTTAAGGAACTTCAAGCATTCACTCCTTTTCCTTTTGTTTTCTTTCCTTTCCAACCGTTTTTTTTTGATCACTGCATGATGGTTTCCCCAGACTTTTCCCCCTTCACAATCCTATTCTTTAAAAACCAGCACCGAGCTTTTCCTTCCTCGCACTCCCCACCAACTCTCACGTCCACTTGCAATTAACAACCTATAGAAAAATATTCTCTCCTGAAATTCCGGGTCTAGATTAAGAGTTATCCCTCAGCGTTGCAATTAGCATCCGGACAACGGGATTGCCGGAAGGGGCCATTGGGTGAATCATGGAGCGCGAGAGAGAGGTAGAGAGAGAGAGAGAGGTAGAGAGAGCGAGGGAGTAAGATAGAGACATATTAAAAGAGGGAGAAAGTGAGAGAGACAGAGAGCGATATGAAACTACACAAAATGTAAAATTCTCCGCCTAATTCGTTTTAGAGTCATAGTTTAACATACTAAAAAAAATTATTTAGTCAACCGTTTAAAAATAAAAATTTTTCGATATTGCGAAAATTTGAATAAATCAAAATGGTTAAGACCATCAAAATCACCTAGCAACCATAACAAAAGTGGCCATGCGCTGGCTTCATTTAGATTTGATAAACTTATCGCGATACCTTTCATTTCTATACGCAATTCATGGACTTGGACGGTTTGGTGATGATGAAAAATGAGCTTCTTGAACAGCTCTGTTTCCAAAGCTGGGTTTGACTTTAATGCCGGACATTAAATGCAATTGATCTAGCAAGTTTTAACTTATTGAACTCTTAGTCCGCAAAATAATTTTGCTTGTTTTGCACGTCTCCCGTGTGCCAGAAGTTCCCCCCAAAACTCCTATTCTTCTAAATGAATCGCAGGCACATCTTGTGTACTCGGTCGTCCTCCTGCAGCCCACGCTCTAAACGACCACCTTTCCTCAATCCCGGATTTTCCGCTTCACCACCACCCCCAATCATTTTTCCGCTTCCTAATCTGGGCCCCCGAGCAAATGAATTTATCCTGCCCGCCCTCCCCAGGTTGATATATCAGGTTAATTGGGCCCGGCCGACTTTTTGCGGCGAGCGGATTTAGGCGTTCACCAAAAAATGGCGCGATCTATGGGATCTGGGTGGAGCAAAATTGCTATTGACTTCTCGGTCGTGCAAAATTGTAACCGCTAATTTCGAGGTGGTCCCGGAAACGCAGGGACTAGCCCCGGGAATTCGATTCCAGGGGAAGCGGAACCCGGGCAATCCTCAGGATTGGC